GTAAGATAGACAAATCATATTCAAATTCTTGGCTATGCCTGATGTTATAGGAGGCTCCCCAAAAGGCATCTTTTATTTTAAGAGCCGAGGTGGCGCAATGGTTAGGGTGCAGTACTGCAGGCCACTTCAGCTGACTGTTATCTGCAGTTCGGCGGTTCAAATCTCACCGGCTCAAGGTTGACTCAGCCTTCCANTTATCTGCAGTTCGGCGGTTCAAATCTCACCGGCTCAAGGTTGACTCAGCCTTCCATCCTTCCGAGGTGGGTGAAATGAGGACCCGGATTGTTATTGGGGGCGATATGCTGATTCTGTAAACCGCTTAGAGAGGGCTGAAAGCCCTATGAAGCGGTATATAAGTCTAACTGCTATTGCTATTGCTATTGCTATCTTAAAGGAGACAATTCTGAAGAAGTTGTCCTTAATCCATTGGATTTTTTTCTACTATCACCTTGTCCCAAATATTCCTATCTGGGGGCAATCTACTTCAGAGGATGCTGTATGTGCCTTGGATAAAACCTGATCAGCATGATCCCCCCCCCCCTGAGTTAATGCATAGTCATTCAAAATACTTTGATACTATTGTCCATGATACAGCCATGGATCAATTCTATGAATTGGGAAGTTGTTCTGATCCAAATTGAACAATCATATAGTAGCAAGTTTGCAAATGATTATTTGTCACTAGTTACTTAAAGAATCTGCATGATTACCCAGATTGAGGACCCAGATTGTTGAGGGCAATATGCTGACACTGTAAACCACTTCAAGAGGGCTATAAAGCACTGTGAAGCAGTATATAAGTCTAAATGCAATTGCTAAGTGTTATTATAGGGAAAGTACAGCTTTGGGTTAATGAGCTTTATTTTATTTCATATGATGTAACAGAATACAGCATTAACCAATGTTTTTATTTTTGGTGTTCATGCTGCTGCTTGTTGCTTGGGACATTCTTTTGAGGTCCACAAGTCATAATGTGTAGACTATTTAGCTGTGACAAGGTCTGTCTGTCTGTCTCTCTATCTATCTTTCTTTCTTTTTTCCTATCTATCATCTATTTTCTTTCTTTCTTTCTTTCTTTCTTTCTTTCTTTCTTTCTTCTATTAACTATGTCTAAGATGACAGTTACTGGGTGAACCCCTCAAAAGGCACAGCTTCTTAAAGGAATAAATGACAATTATAGTGAGCACATCCTTGTTGGAGTCAAAGCTCTCTTGCTTCTTCAGTTCCGAGTAACCTCCTAGCAGGGCCTTCTTTATGATATGGGAAGTCTGATTGTTTAGGTGTGCTCTTCATAGCCTTGGTCACACTTTAAGAAGGTCTTAGTAATGTTCCTGGAATATTCCTAGATTTAAAAGTTTAATTTAAAAACAAAACTGTAAGAAAGGACCCATAGGTGCTCTTTGATCACCGTGAAGATTCTTCTGCTGGATAGATGCAGCCACAGATTTATAAAAGGATTTTTATTCTCAAAAATAGTGGCCTCTTTTTCAACTGTCCAGTTCAGCCATAATTCACTGAAGAATGCAGGATTCCATAGAACTATGGCAATTTGTGTGGGTGCAAAAACAATGTTATGATTTTCACATAGCATTTAGAACAAATCTAACTCTCAAGCAGTATCTAAGTTTGCAAAACATTGAGCTTCAGGGAGTTTATTTTTAAGCCTGTATTTCCAATTTACTTTAGTGGGTAAATGGATATGAAATATTATGAAATATCTGAAATATCTGAGATATTTTGGACTTTATCTATAAGTCATTTATTAGCCCTTTCTGGTTTTTTAAATTGTGGCCTGTCACTAATGAAGGAGCTTAATTTGATTATAAATATAAAAGTCCATTGTCTACTTTCTCAAAAGGCAAGATGTAAGATTACTATTAATTTCAAGGACTACCAAAGGCAGCTGTGCAGGTAATAAACAGCAAATCAAATAGAAATTCCCAGAACTGCTTTCATTGCAAGGGGCATTTTAAAAATGCAATATGATATCTGAAAGCACCCTAAAGGGAGTCTTCTTTTGGAACAAAAAAAGAAGAAAAAGAAAGATAAATTGCATGTGAAAAGATCATTCCGTCACTTTCTGAGATATCGTAAAAAGGACAGAGGGGAAGTCAAACATTTAGATGGATTGCAATTTTTTTTCACCATTTAATAGTCACTATAAATATGGTGGTTGACAATAGATATATGTGAAGAATGCTGAACATGACCATCCTCACACTTCATGCATTATAAGAACTGTACAGGAGCTGTTTATCTGTATTAAAAACACCCTGCCTATAATATTGCCAAGAAGAGTCTATGCTGTGATGGTTAATAACTAAATGAGGGTAGTTGTTCACTCCAGTTGCTCAAGTTTGCATACTCTACAAAAGGGAACATACAGAGCTTTCTGTGCTCTCTTTCTATTAAGCGATCATAAGAGAAGCAAACAGTGAGCATCCAAACCTTTCCAAATGTTATTATGTTAATGGTGGGACTGATATGGAAAGAATATGTGGAATGAAAGTTTCCAGGGCAAAATCACCATAATAAAAATTCTTCCAATTATTTGAGGAAGGATTAGAAGCTCTGCTACGTTCCTTTTATTCATTGGTTTCATTTTCCTACAAATGCCATATCAATACATACTCCCATATTAGCAAATGTAGATCTGGGAACATAAAATAATTATTTGCTAAAATAATTCCAGTTTAGCTCTGATATATCTTTCTCAGCTGTTATACAAGTCTGGAACATGATCCACCTAATTTGACAAGTTACAATTTATTGTTGCTTTTTAAATAAACATTTCACAGTTGTCATTAAGACTAGTAAAATAATTTGCAAAGCTTTTAATACCATTAATAAGAACATGCATCATTTCCATCAAATCCTTCGTACTCATAGATTTTTATTTATTTATTTATAAAATTAATCTTTAAAATGATTAGTGGTTCTTCTTGAGATATTAAGAAATGTCAACAATGGCAATGGTTGTTGTTGTTGTTGTTGTTATTATTATTATTATTATTATACAATTGTATCACAGCAGCCAGTTGTTTTGCCGGATTTGGCATTGGTTACTAGTCGAGCCCCACCCAGGGGCCTAGG